GGAATTCTGGTATGCTGTATGGGGTTGGTTTATGAATCATAGAAGTAATTTCCAAGCATGCCTCTACACTGAAGTTGCTATAGAAATGCAGAAATACTGATACCTGCTGTGCACCATCTTGAAATTGGAATTTGTCTGATGTGGCCAAGGTTTGGAATTTTAAAAAAATTTCCAGGTGATTGTAAAATTCAAACAAGTTTGAGAACCACTAAACTGGAGATCTTGAAGTGTGTATTTCAATTTTCAAACGTCAAGTCTCTGAATAGTGTAGAACTTAAATTTCTGCACTAAAGTTTGTGATAATGAGATGGGTCTAATTAGATATATCAAGTTGTAATTTATATGAATATAGCATTATTTCCATAAAACTGGAACAAATGATGAAAAATTCAATCAAATCACTTACATGTACACACAGTCTTAACATGCAAATGATCAATGTTCAAAATAGCCAGGATTTTAAGTAACTTTGTCATGTAGAGTCACATACCCACTTAGAGTTGCCAAGTAAAATACAAAAAAACCCTATAAAATTTGAATTTCAGATAAACAAAGAATTTCTTAGTATAAACACATCCCATACACTATTTGGGACATAGTTATATGAACTATCGCTTGATATCCATCTGAAATTCAATTTTACCTACATGTCCTATATTTTTATTTGCTAAGCCCAACAATTCTGCCCCAAATTTTAAGGGAATAACTTGAGCCATAATTAAATGCACTAGGAAAAATCATAATAAAATATATCTTCAACTTATTGCTCATTTTATGTTCTTGTTTCCTAAATTACATTGCCTGTTAACCATCACAAGCACTACATGACTTTATACTGAGGACTAACTTACCTTATTCTGCCTCTTCTGTCTTCTTCGGAGGCGCAGGAACTCCTTGTGCTGCCTGGAGACAAAGTTCACTGCTGCATATTCCAGTAAGGCAGCAAACACAAACAGAAGGCACACTGCCATCCAGATGTCAATCGCTTTCACATAGGAGACCTGAAGGGGGGTTGGGGAGGGGGGAGAAGAGGGGAGAGAGAGAGAGAGAGAGAGAGAAAGAGAGAGAGAGAGAGAGAGAGAGAGAGAGAGAGAGAGAGAGAGACTATGAGGCTACGAAAGCTTTCAGGGAAACCAGATTCATAATAGTGTATACAGCAAAATAATCTCATTTTCTTCTTCAAGGATTTTCTAGCCTTTTCTTAAGGAACTATGTAAATTATTGTGCTAGTGCTGCAATAAACAACTTAAATGCCCATCAGTAAAGGAATGG